CATTGCGGTGGCTTCTTCTGTTGCAGAGCACAGGCTCTAGGTGCGCGGGCTTCAGTAGTTGTGGCTTGCAGGCTTTAGAGCGCAGGCTCAGTAGTTGAAGCGCACGGGCTTAGTTCCGCGGCATGTGGGATCTTCCAGGACCATGGATCGAACCCGTGTCCCCTGCATTGGCAGGCGGGTTCTTAACCACTGCACCACCAGGGAAGTCCCTACTTTTTTTTTTAAAGAGCAGTTTAGGTTCATGGCAAAATCAAATGGAAGGTACAGAGGTTTCCCATATACCCTCTGCCCCCACCACATGCATAACCTTCCCCATTACAACATCCCACACCAGCGTGGACATTTGTTACAACTAATGAACCTACGTGGACACATCACAATCACCCGAATTCCATAGTTTACATTGGGTTCACTCTTGGTGTTTTCCATTCTATGGGTTTAGACGAGTGTCTAATGATTTGTCTACCATTACAGTATCATACCAAATACTTTCACTGCCCTAAAAATCCTCTGTGCTCCACCTACTCATACCTCAGTCCCTGCTAACTCCTGGCACACACTGATCATTTTATTGTCTCCATAGAGTTTTTCATCAATGGATGTTGGTGCTTACTTTTGGGGTTAAAGAAAACAATAAAGAAGATTAATTTTGTAGAGAAATATCACTTAGGCAATTATCATTTACCTGCACAGGTGAACTTTCTCTGCTTACAGGAACATAAAGACCAGATTCTCTTGTACCCTACACAAACACCATATGTGCCATTCAAGTTGCCAAGAACTAACTAGAGCGAACTAGTTTAAAGCAGAATCTGTAGGCTTCAGTTTAATTTTTCTTCCTCAGAGAAGCCTCCCTGCCCTTTCATGGCCCCCCTCCCCTCCCAGCAGCCTGCACTTTCCCTTCTCTGTAACTGTCATGATATCTGAGAGGTGACTTTTGGCATTTCCTTGTTTGGTGTCTGTTTCCCACTGTGGCGTGGACTCCATGTGGACAGGGAACAGGGAAGTTGTGTTTACCTTGAGTTATGAGCATCTAGCCTGTGCCTGGCACCCAGGAGGGGCTCAGTAAACATCTACTGAATGAGTATGGAATAAACACCTGTGAAACAACCCTGGGGACAGATTCCAGTTTTCAATTCCGCTTTCATGGGATCGGCAGTGGGAACAGGGTTTATTTGGGAGCAAATGTTCCTGTGTATGGGGGGAAAGAGATTCACACATAAGTCTTGTTGGCCTTTGTGGAAACGGTGATGGACATGCTTGAATATCTTTCATGAGCTGTTATAACCAGAAGGGATATGAGCTCAAGGAGGGGTAACACTTTTTAAAAAATAAACTTTATTTTATTTTATTTTTTCGGTACGCGGGCCTCGCACTGCTGTGGCCTCTCCCGTTGCAGAGCACAGGTTCTGGACGCGCAGGCTCAGCGGCCATGGCTCATGGGCCCAGCCGCTCCGCGGCATGTGGGATCTTCCCGGATCGGGGCACGAACCCGTGTCCCCCACATCGGCAGGCAGAATCTCAACCACTGCGCCACCAGGGAAGCCCTAAACTTTATTTTTTAGAACAGTTTTAGATTTACAGAAAATTGGGAAGATAGTAGAGTGAGTTTCCATACACTCACATATCTTCCCCTATTATTAACATTTTACACTATTAACATTTGTTACAATTCATGAGCTGATACTGACACATTTATAGTCCCTATTTATTCCGATGTCCTTAGTTTGCCTTGATGTGCCCTTTCTGTTCCAGGATCCCACCCAGGACACCACCTTACTTGTAGTTGTCATGTCTCTTTCGACTGTTGTCGGCTGGGACAGTTTCTCAGACTTCTATTTTTTTGATGACCATTTTTTTTTAAATTAATTTTTATTGGAGTCTAGTTGCTTTATAATGTTGTGTTAGTTTCTGCTGTACAGCAAAGTGTTGATGACCGTTTTGAATACTCACCAGGCATTTTGTAAAATGTCCCTCAACTGAGATTTGTCTGATGTTTCTCTCGTGATTAGACTGGTGTTCGGGTTTTTGGGAAGAAGAGCACGGAGGTAAAGTGCCATTTTCATCACATATCAAGGGTACATACTACCCACGTGACTTACCACCGTTGACATTGACCTCCATCACCTGGACAAAGGGAGTGCTTGTCAGGTTCATCCACTGTGAAGTTACTCTCCCCTCCACCCCATACTGTCCTCATTGGAAGGAGGTCATTATGTGCCGCTCACACTTAAGGGGGGGGGGGGGGGGGGGGGGGGGGGGGGGGGGGGGGGTTATACTTCACTCCTTGAGGGTGGGGCATCTACACACATTATTGGAATTCTTCTGCAGGGGAGATTGTCTCATCTCCATTTATTTATTTACACAATCATTTATTTATATCAGCAAACACTCATTGACATTTATTTTATACTTTGGGTGATAATCCAAAATCACTGTTTAAATTTTTTTTTGGGTCAGCTTAGTCCTAGTTTGGCCATTGGATGTTCTTTAGCTGGCTCCTGTGACCATCTGACATGCCCCCGTCATTTCTTTTTTAAGAACTTCCTTACGTTATGGCACTGTGAGAACTCTAGCCTCATCTTGTATATTTCCTGCTTCAGTCCTAGAATCAGCCATTTCTCTAAGGATCTCTAGTTCCATTTATTGGGGAATAGTATTAGGTGTGGTGTGCTTGTTGCTACTTGGGGGGGTAGAACTTTTTCAGGTATTGCAGATTGAGAGGGGCATTTCTTCTCTACAGGTATAGATTTTAAGTCGTAAGTCCATATAGTCTTATTATTTTCCTGCTTTGTTGGACATGAGTAGACTTTGAGTGCATAGATCTGTCAGAAATTCATCACAAACATCTTTAGACGGGAATGAGACTGGCTAAAATAAGAGTCACTAAAGGAACGTCACTTGGCCATCCCTCAAATATGAAACAACTGATATACCAGGCAAAGGAAACATAACATAGAAGAGTCTGTTGTTTTGTTATTGGATAGCTGGTAATAGTTATCATATCACAGATGTTATTGTAAAGGTCTGTTGACAAAAGCAATCAAGATTGTACTGAAAGTATTGGACAAGAATGTTGCTTTGGGGCCGGACTGATGTGGATTTGAATCCTTTGACCGTTATCTATCAGCCTTGGATTTTGGACAAGTCATTCTACTCCTCTCAGCCTCCTTTTTCTCATCTGTAAAGGGGATATAATGATCATATCTACCTGATGGAGTTGTTTGAGGATTAATGAGATATTGCACATCAGTTGCTTAGTCTCAGTGCTTGACAAATGTAATTACTCAGTAAATGTCAACTGCCTGAAATATTTTCAGGGAACACCCGGTCAGGGGAAAACACGTAGAGCAGATGTCGAGGTACACAAGTCCTGTTCAGACACCTGAAAATAAATTTTATTAAGACAGCAGACTTTGGCCTTTCATGTGGACAGCTTTAGGATATGGGTCAAAACTATTTCAAGGCCTAATAAAAACAAACAAATGGGACCTAATTAAACGTAAAAGCTTTTGTACAGCAAAGGAAACTGTAAACAAAACAAAAAGACAGCCTCCAGAAGGGGAGAAAATATTTGCAAATGATGTGACAGACAAGCGATTAATCTCCAAAATACACAAATAGCTCCTACAGCTCAATATATGTGTGTGTGTGTGTGTGTGTATGACCTAATCAAAAAATGGGCAGAAGATTTAAATAGACATATCTCCAAATAAGACATACAGATGGCCAAAAGGCACATGAAAAGATGCTCAACATCACTAATTATTAGAGAAATTAAAATCAAAACTACAATGGGGTATCACCTCACACTGGTCAGAATGGCCATCATCAAAAAGTCTACAAACAAATGTTGGAGAGGGTGTGGAGAAAAGGGAACCCTCCAACACTGTGGTAGGAATGTAAATTGGTACAGCCACTATGGAGAACAGTATGGAGGTTCCTTAAAAACTAAAAATAAAGCTACCATATGATCCAGCAATCCCACTCGTGGGGATATATCCAGAGAAAACCATAATCTGAAGAGATGCATGCACTCCAATGTTCATTGCAGCACTATTTACAGTAGCCAAGACATGGAAGCAACCTAAATGTCCATTGACAGAAAAATGGATAAAGAAGATGTGGGGTGTGTGTGTGTGTATATATATATATATATATATATATATATATATGAATGAGTGGAATATTACTCATTCATAAAAGAGAATGAAATAAAGCCATTTGCAGCAACATAGATGGACCTGGAGATAATCATACTAAGTGAAGTAAGCCAGACAGAGAAAGACAAATACCATATGATATCACTTATGTGTGGAATCTAAAAAGAAAAGATACAAATGAACTTATATACAAAACAAAATAGATCCACAGACATAGAAAACAAACTTATGGTTACCGAAGAGGAAAAGGGTGGGGAAAGGGATAAATTAGGAGTTTGGGATTAACATATACATATAACTATATACACAATAGATAACCAACAGGGACCTACTGTATAGCACAGGGAAATATACTCAATATGTTTTATTTTTTTTAAATTTATTTTATTTTTGGCTGTGTTGGGTCTTCGTTGTTGCATGCAGGCTTTCTCCATTTGCGGCGAGTGGGGGCTACTCTTCGTTGCCGTGCACGGGCTTCTCATCGCGGTGGCTTCTCTTGTTGGGGAGCACGGGCTCTAGAGCGCAGGCTCAGTAGTTGTGGCGCACGGGCTTAGTTGCTCTGTGGGATCTTCCCAGACCAGGGCTCGAACCTGTGTCCCCTGAATCGGCAGGGGGATTCTTAACCACTGTGCCACCAGGGAAGCCCTATACTCAATATTTTGTAATAACCTATAAGGGAAAAGAATCTGAAAAAAATATCTATATATAGTATATATTCTCTCTATATACATACTGATATATATAAACCTGAATCACTCTGTATACCTGAAACTTACACAAAATTGTAAATCAACTATACTTCAATAATAATGTAAAAAAACGATTTCAAGTCCCAAAATATAGCAACATCCAGGCAGAGCAACTAATGGTAGATATTTTTCCCAGGTGGGGTGGTGGGCTCTCCCCCGTTGCTCAGATTCTGATAAATGAGTCCCCCTAGATCTGCCAACCCTACAGAGAATGGGGAGTGGACCTTCCCGCCCACCCACTGCTACATTCCCCTGGCAGATGGCCCAGGGGAAAGAAAAGGTGAACATAGCACTGGAATAGAGGCCAGCCCTCACCCCAGGTCTTGATGAGAATCAGAGGCAGATCTAAGTAGATGGATGGGTTTGGCCCCCAAGAGTGTCATTGCTAGAAGGGAGAGGTTATCCATCGCCCATGTGGGGAATTTTTGAGGAGTTTGGCAACAGATACCAATATCATTTGTGGGGTCCATGACCTCTGAAGGTGAGTAGGGGAGGTGGCATTCACTTCTTGATGGGGCTGGTGTCTCAAATGACGATGGTGGCAAGGACAGGGCTGCTCTTTCTAAACGGATCCCCAAATGGGATGGACAGGGCCTGTCTCATTATTGCACTGGTCTTATCTCTGATTGCTATTTTGGTTGGTGAGTCATTGTGAAGATGCCACGCGCTCAATATTCCACCCCAGAGACAGCAGCCCTAAGGGCAAACATTTACTTGATTACCCCATGTTATGGACTGAATTGTCTTCCCCCCCAAATTCAGATGTTGAAGTCCTAATCCGTTATATGACTGTATTTGGAGAGAGGACCTTTAGGGAGGTAATGAAGGTTATCTGAGCTCAAAAGATTCGGAGCCTAAACTGATAGGACTCTTGTCTTTTTAGGAAGAGGAGGAGACACCAGAGCTCTCTCTCTCTGTCTGTACGGAGAAAAGGTCATGTGAGGACACAGTGAGAAGGTGGCCATCTACAAGGTAGGAAGAGAAGCCTTACCCAAAGCCAACTCTGATGGCATTTTTATCTTGAACTTCTAGCCTCCAAGAGTGGGAAAAAAAGTATCTGTCGTTTAAGCCACCCAGTTTGTGGTAATTTGTAATGGCAGCCTGAGCTGTCTAATATGCCCCGTATTTTTTCCACTGCACGTGTGAAACAATTGCATTTCTTGTTTTGTGATCTGTTTGCTCCTGTCCTCTGGCCACATAATAAAAGTTACTCTGTTTATCCATTTGCTTAGGTTTAATGGCATTTCTTTCTGGTGAGTGAAGAATTTAAAATCCAGAAATGAGTTGGTGAAGGAATTAGTGAGTATCTATCCTCAGTTATTTTCTATCCCCAAGGATAGTCTTAACTTTTTAAAAGAAAATTAGGAAACTGTGGTCCCATGAGGGGGTGCTCCTGGAAACCTGGTCTAGTGGTAAAGCCAACCTTTCATAAGAGGAAGTGTCTCCGGGAGAATGGATTCTGGAGAATAAGTGTGTTTATTGAGCATTTGTGGCCTCACTGGGCACATGCACAGGACCGCACTTGCTAAACCCAGAGACTCCTGAAGTAGGAACACATCCCCAATGCTGTGACAGCTCACGGGCTCAGAAGAGTTCAGATATTTGCCCAGAGCCACTCAGGTAACAAGTAAATAACATAAAATACAGACCTAATTTTGTTGAGTCCTAAATCTTGGGCTTTCCCAGCACTGAGGACTGTGGCACTGGCCCATCAGGGAGGGTTTATAACCTCAAGGACACTGGTCACCACTGAAACAATGCTGGTCACTGTGTCCTCGGCATCAGGCTCACAGCAATCTGCCCACCAGACAGGTGCTTCCGGTTGGGTCAGGAAGTTTCAGGAAGTTCCCGAATATGGGAGAAATACCCCCCCTCCTGACCATCACGGGGTCTTTGTCCAGCAAACCCCCTTGTTGTTGGGGAGAGAACTTGTTAACGGGAAGGGGGTGTTTAGGGTCCCTGGTTTGACACCTGTCCCCAGACTGGGAGTCTTTATTACAAATAAATATCTTGACATTTTACTCTATAGATCATCCTTGACATAATTTTGTTGACATGAGTATATCACCAAGTGTGTCCCTGTTATTGAATTATTGTAAAAACTTAGAGCTTTGGGACATCTCTAAGTCCATATGTGGATGACTGTGGACTTTGAGATACTTCCTCTAGGGGAAGATGAGACCAAGGAGGAACTACTAAGGGGACCTGCAGAGGCAGAAAGGTGATATTTATTGGGATCTGGAAAAGAGGGGCAGGAAGAGGGTAAGAGCAAGGAGAAGAGCAACGAACACTTACTGAGTGCTTATCTAATGACCCAGAAAGCATTATGTCCATTTTACAGATGAAGAAACTGAGGTTTAAGAAGTTAAATAACTTGCTGAAGTTCAAGCAGCTAATATCTCCAAAACTGTTTCCGGAACCTCATGCCAGTGCCCAGTGTCTTTCCATGATACCAGGCGTCCTCTCAGAAACCCTGGTCTTGATTCTCACCAGCCCCCACCAGCCCTTCCCTTCTCTAAGCAGTTCCCCTCAAATCCAGGAACAGCTGTGCAATTCTGATCTTAGCCACAGGGTGGCGACATTGTCCGACTATGGCTCAGGTCGCCTCCCCTGGGAGGATGGGAGGAGGTAAGCAGGGGCCTGTGTCTGCTGGGGTTGCCCTGCGCTGGGTGCTTTTAGCACCACGTTTACTCAGTTCTCCCGAGAACCCTGGGAAGTAGCTATTATCCCGTTTTACAGATGAGGCCATGGAGGATCTGCCCACAATTACCCGGTCTGTAGTAGAAGCAGGAATGGAATCAAAGTCTGCCTGTCTGTCTGCAAGTTCCCGCCTCCCAGCATGCTGGACTCCCAGAGAAAAAGTCGTTCTGTGCCCTCAGGATACACAGTCTGGTGGGGAGGTAGACGGGGTGGGGGGGGGACCCCACTTGAGCCTGGGCCGGGGGTGTGTAGTGAAGGAGGAGGGTGGGTGAGGGGTATCCAGGCCTTCGCTTTGGTTAACGAAGGGGAGAGTTAGGTTTTAAGGTGGGAATAAAGTACAGTTAGAACCACTCCTGTGAATCCCTTAGGATGCTGCTGTGTTGTAGACCGACGTACCACGCTCAGCAACTTGTCCTCCTGCTTTGGAAGAGACTGCCTTTTCCTCCTGGTAGACGGTTGGCTGTGTTCCCGAGCAAGGCTACATGAAAATGTGTCTGCAGATTGAAATGTTAGATTCCTGTCCCAGACAGGGACGTGCTGGAAACGCCTGGAGCTGGCTTGTGAGAGCTGGTGTTACGCGTCTTTTCCCGAGTCTGTGCTCAGGGTCATCATGGTGGTGGTTTGAAATGAGCCATGGAGGGAGTATCCACACCACAGGGATTGGCAAATGCTAGAGACCAGGGCCTTGTCCTCCTGAAGAGCCAGCTGTTAAACAGCTTCTGACACAGCCCTGCCCCCGGGGAAAGTGGGTGGGAGCAGAGAGATGGACCAAGGGCCCCAAGGGAACCCATGGATTTACAGCTTCCGTCTCAAGCTTACTCCAAGCTTTCAGTTTGTGAAGAGAGTAGATTCTCCTAGAGTGGAATCGCTGCATAATTTAAGTTGCTACTTTCCTGTCTCTTCTTTATTGCTCCTGAGAGCAAGTAACAGACTTTGAGTAGAAAACATGCATAAGCTGTGTCTGCACTGGAAGCAAGATGGCTAACACGGACTGTGTCTTTGGACCCAACCCGTGATGGACTCTGCCCAGGTCCTAAAGAGGTGGGGCGCCCACATGGAGCAGAGTGGCTGTGGGGTTGGCTGTGGAGGGAGGGCACACACGTGACGCTCACCTCGGGGTTCAGTGACCACAGCAGATGGTGACTGGACGGGAAAGGAGGGCCCTGGCTGTGCCGAGACACAGGCGTACTCAGTAAATATTTGCTGAGTGGAAACCAGCCATGGCTGCCATGTGCAGCTTAGCTGAAAGCTGCCTGTCGTGTTCAAGAGCATATGTGACACCCCAGCGTCCTTACAGGAGGGCTGGGACCAGGGTGAGTCAACGGGACACCCACTCTCAGGTGCCGACCCTGCACTTGCACCAGCCTGAGCGTGGGGTCTCCTTGCCTCCCTGTTCACGGGGCCTGGGGCCTGCATCAGAAGAGGGGGAGGCAAGAGCCTGTGACCCGGTCACATCACAAGGGGGGCCATCTGAGCTGCATCTGGAAGGGTCTTCGGGCATTGGGCGGGAGGGAAGGTCTTACTCCAGGGAGTGGGAGCTGGTGTGCAGGCTGGAGGCTGATGGGGGTTCTTTCTTAGGCCCATAAGAGATGGGGAGTGACCCCGAAAGTGGGGAGGTTTTCCCAGTTATCTGTTCCTGCTGGGGCTCCCCCTCCCCTCTGTGCTCCCAATGGGAGGGTCTCAAAGGTCTGTGGGCACCTTCTCAGGGGTCATGAGTGGGGACCTACCTCTTCCCTGTGGGGAGGTTGGTGTACCCTGAGCCCCTGGGGTGGGTAGAAGGTTGTGCTGGATGTTTTGTTCTGTCCAAACCCTGTTGGTTGCAAGAGAGATGCTGAGAACTTGTCAGGCCAAGAACCACAAGGGAACCCTTGTGATAAAGGAAGCCCAGCAGAAAGAGGCCGACTGATGTGGCTGGGGAGAGAGTCACCCACAAACTGAGGTTGGGCAGAGCTATGCATGGGGGCTGGGCACAAGCTCAGCGTGGGGCAGTCCCTCCACTAGGGGGGCTTCTCCAGCTTTAAAAGGTAACGTACTTGGTGTGACTGATGGGATGGTTAAGACTAAGGTGAAAAGACCCTGTGAAAGCTGGACCATGAGACTCCCTAGGAGGACACTTCAATGCCCCAGGAAGAAGGGCAGGTCCACCAGCCTGCAGCTCACAGACAGGGAAGGTCCCCGGGCCCTGCTGGGAGACCAGCTGAGGGTTGCCAGGCCAGCAGCCTTTGCAGGTCTGGGTTGCAGCCGGAGGTGCACGCCTGTTTTTGACACGCTGAGTGCAAGGGGAGGCGGCTGTGGTTGACCAAAAGTCACCTTGATCTCAGAAGCTGCTGAGATGCAGCCACAGGTCTTAGTTCCTCTCTGGGGTGATGCGAGGGAGGCAAGAGGCTGCCCTGGGACAGTCCTGGCCTCCTGCCCCCTCATGTGGCTTCTCAAGGTCTGAAACCATCTTGCGTGGGAGATAAACTGCACTGAGAGGGGCTTGGATCCGCAAAGACCGTTGGTCTGAGAGGGCAGGGACCTGGTCTTAGGCCAGGCTCTGCCTTGTACTGACTTTCCACATCTTGCGGTTTACCAGTTAACCAACGTCTCTGGAGCCTTAGTTTACTCATCTGTAAAATGGTAAGGTAATCCCAATGGTACTTATCTGCCTCTCATAAGTGAAAGTGCTTTTGCCCTGGAAAGTGCTAGACAAGTGGGGTGCGTTGATGATGGTTTAGCTCCCTGGATGCCTCTGACGGACTGGAGACCAGGAGGAATGTCTGTCATGTAGATACAGCAGGAACAGAGGCAGCAGTGCCCTGTGTATCCAGGGGCCAGACTTCTCCCATCCTCAGCCCTTCAGCCCAGGGCTGGGCTCCCACCTCATCAGCACAGGGGCCCGCCTCAGTGACCCGAGCGAGGACCTCCCACCTCCCACCTTTGGGGGCCCCTCACCCACCAGAAGACTTTCTCCCAGGCTGCTCGGCCTTACAAAATGGAGGTATTTTCCAGCTGTCTCACAGAGAACCATGCAGCTGTTTTTATTTTCTTTTTTATTCTAACGTACAGCAAATCACATTACAGATTAAAAAAAAAAAAAGCCCCGTACAAGCAAAAGACTTAAACATTTGAAGTGCTATAAAACGGATTCGTCAGTGGCTCTCCTGAGACCATGCATGTATTTAGCATTTTATCTCTGGTCTGTAAGTGTGTGGTGTTGAGGTGAAGAGACAGAAGTCACCCTGAGGGGTGTCCCCATCTTCCCTGCTGCTCTGTGCCACCCTGACCCTTTTGAGGGCCTGTGAAGGGAAACTCTGAGCCCGGGTCACAGAGGCAGGTCATGCTTCCTTGAGAATGAGGTCTGTCCTGGGGTCTTTCTCTGGAAGGGCCGGAGTCCTCCCCTTCAGGTCAGCCTTGGGTCCTGGACTTGCAAATGTGCCCTTAGCATCAGAGATGGAGCCAGAGCGCGGTGAGGGGTGCAGGAAAGAGGCTGCCTGAATGGCCTCCGTGTGACCCTGACAGCTGGAACCCATGTCACATGCAGGCCCCGGGCATGCTCCTGACAAGGGACAATTTTTGGTATTTGTGAGTGATGGATGGTTCCTACCTTTCGGTCACTTCCTCACTGATTTCCACCTCTTCTGAACTCTTGGTCTGCATTACTGTGTGGGAAGAACTCATTCCTCCCCCCCCCCCCACCGCCACCACACTTGTCCCTCCTTAACTCTTACACTGCTACTACTACTAGCACTCACAGCACTTCTGACACCAGATGTGGGGTACCCCAGCACCAAGCAAGTCTGTGACACCAGCTGGTTGTCCTACAATTCAATTCAGTTCTGACACTGTCCACCTGGAGATAGGCTACAGGTTAAGGGCTCAGTCCTACAAGACTGCCCCACCCCCCATTAACATGTCAATCATAAGTCCAGGTTGTCACTCGTGCTTCTGATGATGTTATAAGTCGGAGGTTCCCAAAACCTCCTCCTTGGTTTCAATTAATTTGCTAGAGCAGCCTGCAGGATTCAAGACAACAGTTTATTTACTGTTTACCAGTTTATTATAAAGGATACAGACAAACATGAAAAGGGAAGATACGCAGAGGGCAAGGTATGTGGGAAGGGGCGTGGAGCTTCCGTGCCCTCTCTAGGTGCCCCACTCTCCCAGCACATCCGTGTGTTCACCAACGTGGAAGCTTTCCAAACTCCATACTATTGGGATTTTCACGAAGGCTACCCCGTGTAGGCATGATAGACTAATAACTCCATTTCCAGCCTCTCTTCCCTCTCTGGAAAAACGGGAGTGGGACTTCTAATCCTAGCCTGGTCTTTCTCGTGACCAGCCCCCGCTAAGGAGCCCACCAAGAGTCACGTCATGAGAACAAAAGACTCTGCTATCAGCCTGGAAATTCCCAGAAATTTAGGAATGCTGTGTCAGAAACCAGAATCAAGGCCCAGTGTTAGAACAAAAGATGCCCTAGTCCTCTTATCACTTTCGGAAACTGCAAGGGCCTTAGGAGCTCTTTGCCGGGAACTCAGGGCAGGGACCAATATACATTTTTTCTATCATCTCAGAATTACCAAAAATAGTTGGTCCCGCAGGATCCTCACACTCAGGCCCCCCAGGCTGGGCTCCCCTTCCTGCCCTGAGTCTCTAAAGGCCCAGCACCCTCTCCACTGGACAGCTGGGTTCCTTCTTGCCTTCACCCCTCACACCCAGTCCTTTGCCAAGTGATTCTACTGCAGCCGTGTCTCTCTATCCTGTCATCTCTGCCCTCCGTCACTGCCCTGACTTAGCCCCTCATCTCTTGCCTGGATTTTACAATGTCTCCGTTCTGGCCCCGTGCCTCCAGTGTCTCCCGAGAGGCCATGCTGCCCTGATTAATCCACCTAAAGCATCTTCTGATGCTGCCTCTCCCCTGTTCAAAGAGCTTCACTGATTTCCAGTTACCCACAGAATTTATTTCAGATGCCTCAGCCTGGCTTTTAGCATCATCTATGGCCCTGCTACGCAGAGTGCGGTCCTCAGACCTGAAGCTTTAGCATCACCCAGGAGCTTGTATGAAATGCAGACTCTCAGGCCCCCCAGAGCTACTGAGTCAGAACCTGCTATTGAACAAGACTGCCAAGTGAATCGTGTGCACATTCAAGTTGGACAAGTGCTGCCTTATGATTTGATTTCTTCCTTTTAAATATATATATAATCAGATATATAATATACATACTTATAGCATACATATATGTGTCAGCAAGTCATACATGCATATGGTTTTAAAAAATGTACTGAAGGGGCTTCCCTGGTGGCGCAGTGGTTGAGAGTCCGCCTGCCCAGCAGGGGACGTGGGTTCGTGCCCCGGTCGGCCCAGGAGGATCCCACGTGCCGCGGAGCGGCTGGGCCCGTGGGCCGTGGCCGCTGAGCCCGCGTGTCCGGAGCCTGTGCTCCGCAACGGGACAGGCCACAACAGTGAGAGGCCCGCGTACAGCAAAAAAAAAAAAAAAATGTACTGAAAAGTCTCAGTCCCCTCCTGGCCCCAGTTCCTCTCCCCAGAGGCAACCACTTGTATTATTTCTGGTTTTAGTTTTTCCGTGTTTACTTCTGTGTCTGATGTGTATTTGTGATCTGATCTGATAATGTGTCTGATGGTATTTCTGGAGTTTTCAAACTGAAATATACCTAATGGCTTCTTGTTAATCTAGGGTGGATTTAACTCATTGATTCCCCCTCCCCTCCAACCTGCCTCCTGTTCTGCCTGCCAGTGGTTGGAATTGATCCTCTGCTGCCGGCTTTTGTCACGCGTCTGGTGGAGCCTTGGTTTTCCCCTTTTGTTTGAAAAGGATCCAGGCAGCTCTGTGGGCAATCAGGCTCCACCTTAGGGTGGTGGCAGGGGCTGGCTTTTATGGTGGGGAACCCCTAAATTTCAGAATGAGGAGGCTTTCCTGAGGCCCCAGGACCCACACAAGCTGCTGAGTTCTCTCCAGACCATGCATGCATTCAGGGTTTTTGGGTTTTGTTTTTGTTTTAGAAGAGCCTTTATTTGTTGACATCTGAGAAGGAAATGCCTGGCTCCTTCATGGTCATGCATGGGGTGGGTGAGGCCTGGGAGTTGACTATTCCATGCCCAGACTGCCCAGTAGGCTCCCTGTTTCAGCCCTGTTCTCACTCCACCCTCTTTCCTACCCGGCCGTCTGAGTTCAGAGGCCCCGCGCTTCCTCTGGGCAGATGGCTCCGTCCTCCACTGTGCCCCTAGGTGTGTGTTCTAGGTCATTGGTTCTCAAACTTGGCTGCACGTCGGGCTCACCTGGATCATTAACAAAGTCCTGTCCCCTGGGCAAGACTCCAGAGATTCTGATGTAATTGGTCTGGGATCTGGCTCTGCCTTACTAGGCGGTCCTCTTCCTTTTCTCTCTGAGATTCCAGGCGTCTCTGGTCTGCTGATTAGTTGCCTCCCTGTCTCTCTTTGATGTGATCGATACACTTAAACAAAATACATTTACTATAGTTTTAAGGTTCCAGGGAAGGAGAGGACACACGTGCATTTACTTCGTTCATGAACATCTTGAACAAGAAGTGCAAAACCTAATTTCAGTCCACGTGTCCAACTTCATCTGCAGCCTCTCCTTTGCACTCTGTAATTTAGCAAATACCAACAAACTCCAAAACCATTCCCTTTCGCCCATCTGCACACTGCTCTTTCCCACATCTGTGACGTCACTCACGCTGCTCCCCGGGTAATGTCTAAGCCCAGAGACGAGCTGTGGGTCAGCCTCTGCATCTCCTGACCTTCCCTCTGCTCTGAAACGGCTCCAGCAGTTTCAAGCTCCTCGCTTTCACACAGCCACAGAGGCAAGAGCCAGTGGGCAGCGAGGGGCACGGGCTTCTCCTCTCCCTCCTTCCTCTTGTCAGGTGGAAGTCATTCTCAGAAGCTCCCAGGAAACTTTTCTTACCTATCATTGGCCAGAATAGTGCCACGTGCCCGCCACCAGAGAGCAGGGGAGTATCCCCACCTACATCCCTGATCCAGGTATCTCGTCTTGACAGCAGAGCCAGTTAGGGCTGTTAGTAAGAAGAGGGGAGGCTCTGGGGGAGGAAGTGCATGCTGTTTGACCACAGTATTGTATTTCTCTGTTCATTCTGTGTCTTCTTTGGGGAACTAGTTATCTACAAGTTTGGTCCCCATTGTCAGTCCATTTTGCTCTAATTGCTTCCCTCTTGTCTTCTATGTTATTTTCTCATCATGTTTCCCATCACTGATGGAGTTTTCTGTAGTGTTGATTCTGTTCTTTGTATTTTAAGTTCTGCCAAAGAATTAATTTTCTCCTCAATTATTTTATTTGCTGCTCCATCCTCCAACCCCCTTCATATTCTGATATTTTCTTTCACCTCTGGTTTCATCAGTCTTTTGCAAACTGCTGTTTCTTTCCTTTATTTTAGAGGACCAAATATTGGTGTAGGTCTCATGTTAGGTTTTTTTTTTTTTCCTGCTTTTTTCATCTTTGATTGGAGTCTTTCTATTTGTTCTGCTAGTTGGCTCAGCAAACCTGTGTATCTGGATTCCTTTTGCCTTTGCTTTCTGTCAGGACCCTGAAGTCCGAGCACATGAGTTAGAGAACTAGATGTCATGCCTTGTATCCTTTGCTTGGACTCACAGCTGCCTGGGGAGGCTGGGAAGAGAGCCTGGGCTCTGGGCAATGGGAGCTGGAGAGCCCTGTCTGCTCCGCCTGCCCCAGGCCTGTGAAAGCCACAGAGAAACAGCCTCCTCTGAGTGGGGTCTTCCTGTTCCACGAGGAGCCCCCTGTGGGATTCCACTTCCTTCCCCTCCACCCCTTCTGACTGGGCCGGCCATGTGGTGTGGCATCGTGCGGTTCATGAGCTTTCCGTCCCCTCACCCCTCCTGCCCCTTTGTCTGCTGCCTTTCCCATCTGGGTCATTGCTCCTGGAATGGTGTTTCTCAAACTGGTGTGCTTTGTAGTCTCGGGGTCCTGCAGGTGCTCTGTTAGAATGTTTACATTTCATGCTTTCATGTCAATAATAATCTGACAGTTAATAATCTGGTAGTTCATTATGTGCATATTTGGATCCTACAGGTGCCCACCTATAACAAAGGCGTTTTCAGGGCTGCGTTTGCTTTTGTGTTACAGCATCTTCACAGGGGGACCAGATAACGGCACAGAGCATCGTCCTGATGGGGACCACCTGGTGCATGGTTTATGTGGAGGAGACAGGTGGGAGGACCGGCCATCAGGCAGGACAGGGCAGAGTGACAATAATAACCTGTGCTTTTGATGCCGGCACTGCTCTGAGTGCTGTGGGTGTGTTAACTCAGTGACTCTGCCGACAGCTCTGTGAAGGAAGACCCTGACTACTGCACTCTTACAGCTGAGGAGATGGAAGCACTGGGAGGTCAAGGCCCTGCTCAAGAGTTTGCAGCTGGTAAGTGGACTGAGGGTTTGACACGGGCAGCTGGGTCCCAAAGCCTAATCTCTTACCCATTAAGCTGTAAGGCTCATGTACATTCACCCAAAGTTAATTCAGCTAAAACCAGTTTGCTAAAAGACAGTTTACACAGAAGTCCATTGAACAACCAATTTGCTGAATTTGATAAATTTATAAAATATTTACTTCTGCCAATTACTGATAAAATTTGGACTTCCCACGTAGTGCAGTGGTTAAGAATCCTCCTGCCAATGCAGGGGACACGGGTTCGAGCCCTGGTCCAGGACGATCCCACATGCCATGGAGCAATAAGCACCACAACTACTGAGCCTGCGAGCCACAACTACTGAAGCCCGCGTGCCTAGAGCCCATGCTCCGCAACAAGAGAAGCCACCGCAATGAGAAGCCCGTGCACCACAGTGAAGAGTAGCCCCGCTCGCCGCAACTAGAGAAAGCCTGCGTGCAGCAAAACAGCTAAAAAATAAATAAATTTATTTAAAAATAAAATAAAGTAAAATTATTGATAAAATTTACAGTGCTTTGAGTCAGATGGATTACCAGAACCTGTGAGGACTTTGGGGAACAAAGACCCCAGGGATCTGGCTTCAGACTGCCTCCCTGGCCTCAGGCCCTCTCCCTCTGCCTGTCAGTCTCTTCATCTCTCTGCCTCCCAGTCTCCCCTCTCAGGCCATCTTGTGAACTGACTTCTCTTTCTGTCTCCAGCAGGGAGCTGGGTAGAGAGACATGAAACATTGCTTTAGGTGCTCTTAGGAAGAAATAATGAAACCTGTCAACCAAAATGACGGAAATCTTTGAAATCTGTTAAACCATTTTTCCAGTATGAATTGCTTTAAGTTTTACACATAGTTTTAAAAAAAGAAGTTTCTGGTAAATGGATAGATTTGATAATTTTGATGACTTGAACATTCACTAAATTGGCATCTGACAAATTGGCTCTCTTCTGCCCCTTAGCACCTCTCCAAAAGGCTTGTCACATTAAAAAATTCCTGCCCTATAGCTGTCAGGGGCGTATCTGACTGGTAAGCTGAGGTATGGGATTCTATCTTTTGGCACCAACTTATAAAAGTTCATTAGCAGTAATGTTGTAAACACCCACTACGGGTGCAAATACCCAATGAAGAACGTTCTTGTTCTATGATTCCAGTGGCAAGTAGATAGATATGTGTTGAATGAAGACTTTAATAATGTTGTCATGTTAATTTTTTTTCAGGTGAATAATGCAATTCTACAGATCTACCAATTGTCACCTGGCAGAGTTTTGGTTAAGATGAGGTTCTGGTAAACAGAGACTTTAATCAAGTATTGGTACAATAAATGTATGTGAACTAGCATTCTTGTATTGAAGTTAAAAAAACTAAATAAAATACAGAGCCTGATGTGCGCCTGCAGTTTTTTCTCTTAATACCAACACCAATGGTTTAGTTTCAGCAAAACAAAAACATTCATCACATTACATTAAAGTTGCATGTTTGAATATGTTCGAATAATCATTGCTTTATTATTTTGTTGCTTTGTATTTATTTACTTTATATACATTTTTTGTTTATAATATAAAAGCTATAAGCACCAAACATTAATACATAGTCTCATGTTTATACATCTTTAAGTAACATAATAAAAATTAAATCAACATTCAGTAATGAGAATTATTTTCTTAAAAGGAATCTTTTTTTTACTATAAAGTGAATTTTAATTGAATTATTACAAGAAATGAAAATAAAAGGGATCTCTGATAAGCATAACACAAATACCAAACTGACGAAGTAAAGCACAAAAAAAAGTACAGAATTTCATTTATAAATAATGATGCAAAAATCCCAAGTAAAAATATTATCAAACAGTAGTACATTTAAAGAATAATATACCAACTGAGATTTATCCAAATAATGGAAGAATAGTTCCATATTAAGACATCTATTAATGTATTATTAGTAGATAAAAAAGAAAAACATATGCTATGTTCACAGATGTTAAAAAGGAAACAATAAAATTGACCATTTTACTCTTGGTAAAACACTTTTTTCTTTCTTTCTTTTTTTTTTTTTTTTCCATACGCAGGCCTCTCACTGCTGTGGCCTCTCCCGTTGCGGAGCACAGGCTCCGGACGTGCAGGCTCAGCGGCCATGGCTCACGGGCCCAGCCGCTCCACGGCATGTGGGATCTTCCCAGAGCGGGGCACGAACCCGTGTCCCCTGTATCGGCAGGCAGACTCTCAACCACTGCGCCACCAGGGAAGCCCTAAGACCCTATTTTAATAGCAGCAAAATTATGAAGCATTATCATTTTCAACAAGACATGCCTTTTGACTTTTGTACTGCAGGCATGTATTATTGAATAAAAATTAAAAAGCCTGTGAATTAATTGAATTTTGAGAACCTAGATAGTACATTTCATGTGCTTAGAATTAAGCCTAGTAGGTGACAGAGCTCAAAAAAATGTTTCCTTCCCTTTCCACCCCTCTCCTCTACAACACATCTGGCCCTGAATCTTGTATCTGCAGGTCACTTTTTTTCCACAGTCAAGGGCCATTCTTCCCTCTACTCACATGTAGCGAGCTGGGCTGTGAAATCCTGAAGGTCCTCCACCCAAGGCCCATCCTTCTCAGGGCCCCCAGGACCCACCCCGTTCCAAGGAATCATCTCTCTCCCCGAGCCACCCCTGTGCAGGTCCTGCCTGGCCATGAGTGTTCCCTGATGGGGTCAAGTGGCTCACAGGTCAGAGTGTGGCCAAAGGCTGAAGGGTTTGCTTCTCATATTTGGTTATTTGAGTAGCAGAGTCACCACCCACCATCTGTGATGTGAGAAAATTTTGATGGAGAACCCAGGAGAGCAGCTCGTGCTGCTCCGGGGTCTCGGTGAAATTGGTCAGGAAGACCTAGGCTTTAGCCCCAGCTCCACCTTAATGAGGGATCTGTGGGGACCCAGGGGAAAAGGGTGGGGTGGGGCAGATCTTGCCAAGGCCCCTCCATGCTCCAGTGTCACCGTGGTCTAGGCGTCCCCCTGGGGTTCTGGACTTCTCCGGATCTTCTTGTAGACAGTGTGGACGGCCAAAGTACACTCCGGGCTATGTGAATGGCAGGTGCCCTTCTCCCTGTCTTTCTACAATTCAAGCAGAGCTTAGGAGTGGTCTTGGTCCATTTCTAAGCATTAGGCAGATGGGTCAGTCATGCTACATCTCTTCATGAGCTTCTTGTCCTCAACTAGGTATTCTGGCTCTCAAAACTGATAACTCCCCAAAATATAGCTTCAGCACAGACCTCTCTCTTGAACACTGCAGAATCTTTGCACTGCTCTGTCTTCTACCCAGGATGCTACCTCTCTCTCCCCACTCTAAGACTTCCACTTTGCTCACTCCCTCATCTCTTTCAGGGTCTGCTTTATTTTCCCATAACACTTATCATCGTCTAGCACTTCATAGTTTGCTTATTGATTCGTCATTCTCCCCTCCCTCAATCTAGACTGTATATTCTGTGAGGCCAAGGACTCTTCTTGTTTTGTAGACTTCTGTAGCCCAGATCAGAACAACTCAGGGAACACAGTAGACATTCAACAAATAACTGATGAACAAATTTGTAAATCACCTTGACTGCTCTCGTTGCAAAAGTGCTTCGAAAAACTGAAAAGCATCAGATAAATGTAAGTTATTATTATTGTAATCCTCATTTCATGAAAGAAGAAACTGAGGCACAGGGGGGAAAGTGATTTTCTAGGGTTGATCAAGAAGTCTGTGTCACAAACTTATTTTACGAAATAGAAACAGACTCACAGACATAGAAAACAAATTGATGGTTACCAAAGGGAAAAGGGGGTGGGGGAGGGATAAATTAGGCATTTGGGATTAACAGATACAAACTACTATATATAGAATGGATAAACAACAAGGTCCTACTGTATAGCACAGGGGACTATATTCAATATCCTGTAATAAACCATAATAGAAAAGAATCAGAAAAAGAATCTATCACTATCTCTATCTATCACTGTCTCTGTCTATATCTATATATCTATATCTATATCATCCATATCTATATATCTATCTATATCTGAATCACTTGGCTGTATAACAGAAACTAACACAACATTGTAAATCAACTATACTTCAATTAAAAAAAAATCTGTGTCAGAGCTGGGACTCACATCCATTTCTGCACTTAACTCCCTGTCTCCTTGTAGGGAATTCATTTTCTCCATCAGACTGAGAGCTTCCCAAGGGCAGGGACTGATGTGGCAGGGGCTTCAGGACAAGGTTGTGTATCTGGGTCAGATGTTGCCTGATCTGTTTCTCTATCCCAAAGCCACATATTGCTCACCTCCTGTGAGTCTCTGGTAGGGGTATTAGGGTTTGGGTAACAATGACCTATTTCCTGAGTCCCCCTGAGGCCCAGGTTAGATAGGGACATAACTGAGAGGGACTGACATGGGAAGTCACAGTGTGGCAGACACTGAGGCAGTTGGGGACAGTGCAGGGAACACTAGGCTGGGAATGAGGACATCCCTATCCTGTCTTGTGCTTTGCCATGGTTCTCTGATAAGTCCAAGTGTTCCCTCTGTGTCTCACTTTCCCCCACTATAACCTGCTGGGACTGGACTGGGTCCTGATGTTTTGTGGAGCAATGATCTAGCATCGTCCCCTCTTTAGGGAAGTCAAGGATGAGAGAGGAGAGGACCTGGCCACTGGTTACTCCTGGGCATCCTGACAGCAGCTCTACTTGCTTCTCCTCTGCTCATCATTTTAGCCCAGTAGTTGTCAACGGGTGGGACCAGGAATATCAACATCACTTGGGAACTTGTTAGAAATGCAAGTTCTCAGGTCTGCCTTAGACCCACTGAATCAAAAACTCCGAGAGTGGGCCCAGCAAACTTTATCTTACCAAGCCCTTCAGGTACTCCCGAAGCGAGCTCATTTGAGAACCGTTGCTTCTGGGAAGTCCCTTAGGTGTCCTCCCCTCCACCTGCGAGCCCTGTCTCCTGGTCTTCCCCCAGTGAAATCATTCCATCTGTGACCATAGCACCAATTTCCAACTAAGGGCAAATAGCCACATGAGATGCTCTCCTAGGGACATCTCATCAGCAGATATATCAAAGCCTTTACGCAAAGAGGTGGTATTAATGGCAGGATCTCAGGCAAGTAGGAGGGAGAGACTTCAGGAAGGAGAGAGGAGGAAACGAGCCTTTCCTGATGCTTCTCAGCTTCTTGGGTTTGCCCTATATCCAGGCCCTGCTAGTGTGCCCTACTTTTTATTTCCTTGGGTCTTGTATAGATGACAGGGTCTACCAGACACCTGGTCATTTACACTTTTGCTTCTTTCGCTTTGCCATCCCTCCTCCTTGGGTGGTAGCAAGGATCTGATGAGGCTGTGGACGTATGAGTGGAGTATGTTCCCCATCAGTGGTTTCCTCCTTTTGCCCCTCAGCTCCCAGCATGTTGTGGGCACCCAGGCACAGCAACCATATTGTCCAAACCAAGGACTGGACCCAGAACTTGATGGGAAGCAGAATACTCTGGACTTCCCAGCACTCACTGTCTCTGAGCACATATCAGTTGACCCTAATTTGATTCCCTTAGACCCACCTTAGGGTGTCTCAGGAAGCTGATCTCTTCATAGGGAGGGTCATGGCTGTTGGCCACACCAGTCTGAAGGTTAGCAGATTCCACTGCGAGAAGGGCCTGGGGAGTAGCTGCTGAGCCTGGCACCACTGGCAGGAGAGTGGACCCACCTATATATAGCAGATGCTAATGAGAATGGATGAAACTCGAGGTGACCCCTCATCAGTCCTTGGGTGAGAGCAGCCATTGCCCTCTGGTTCATAGGATCAGGTCCCAGAGCCCTGTCCTGTCCCTGCCTTCCTCCACCCTTCCTTTCTGGGCATGCATACAGCTCCCACCTCCAGCATTGCTCTCCCCCAGGCTACTACCAGGAATGATTCACAAGAGAGGTCAGTGAGCCTCTATCTGATCATTGCCCTGCCACCTTCCCTGGGGTCTCCATCTTCTCCTTTCTCCCAGATCCACCCCTATCCCAGGGCTCCCCTCAGGGTCTACCCAGCACCTGCCTCTCCCAGTCTGCATCTTCTTTCTCATCCAGATCCACACTCCAGCCACTAGGCTCACGTCAGAACCATGAGAAGGATGCCTCTCCAAAGCCATTTGCTCTGAAGAGAACCTGGAGTCAAAGGCTAGTGTCAGATCTGCCTCAGTCAGGCCTGTTGGGTAGGCAATTGGGAGGAGGTGGGGCCACCCTGGCTCAGAGCCTGTATCCCAAGTGTACATCCTTGATGCAACCCTGACAGGTTTCCTCCTTTCTAGCCTCTCTACACACTAGCTGCTGTTACTTTAATGTTTCTTCACTAGGCTTTCTGTCCCATTTCTGCACAGGAAACTCAGAGGCTCCCGTTAGCTGCATGTGCCGTTGCTCATCCCCTCAGCCTGCCTCTTTTCTCTTCTCAGACTCCCAGAAGAAAAATACATTCTAAGAGGAGGAAGGGATAAAAAACTCTGGGGTCACCAGACCTCAGGGTATGTCCTTTTCTCTGTTTGGCATGTCTTTTCCACTACGCCACAAGAAAACTCCTATTCATCCTTCAAGGCCCATCTCAAGTATTCCCTTATCTGCGATGCCTTTCTCAACTCGGGCAGCAGTTACTTAACATTTT